AAAAGAGAAGATTTTTGAAAACGTTGATAAAACTTTGTTTATTTTATTTCATTCTATAATTTTTCAAGCGAAATAAAGATTATTTTAAAAAGTGAAATAAATGTAAAACTTAACACGTTTGCGACATAAAATTTGTTTGTTTGCCACGTGCTGTTTGGCGCTTACGTTGTGACGTCACGTAAACAATAACTTAAACGTCTGTACAGCGTTAAACGGACTGATAAAAGATATTGGTGTTCGGATTCATTTTCTTAGTTAGACCATTTTCTTTCATTCTAAGATAGCTTTCACAACAAAATTTGACCAAAAAAATTGTTTTATTTATTCAGATTTCAAACAAAATGGCGCCTTCGAATTTCATTTTTTATACACAGCTTCCGTTATTCTGGTTCCGCTGTCCAATTAAGGTTCCCATAGACGTGCGCGGGTGACCAGTCTACACATCCGTTTTCAGTCAGAATTCCTCAGTTTTTATCGTTATCTTTAAATTCGAAAGGTTGCGATGTGTCCAATTCGGTTCTTTGGACGAAAGTTTTCAAAACCATCACTTAGCAGGTACCAAACTCCTCACAGTGATTACCTCCCTTGGCAGAATTGTAATCACTGCCTTCAAAGACGTCACATGATGATGAAAGTCACATGACGTAACGTCGAAATTCAAATGTAAATATCGACTGTTACAAAGAAAATCTAACGTTATTTTTCTCTTTCTGTTTTATTTTTAACTTTTAGTGCCTACGTTCGATATAGTTTATCAAAAAATTATCGAAAGTATACAAAATAACGAAAAATAAATTCAAAAGCTAAAAAATAATATGAAAAAGGCAAAGCCTCAAAACGAGCTCGATGTACTTTTTACGTGAAATAGTATGAAATAATCTCAAATGCAGTGACGAGTGCGTGTGACGTCACACGTACTGTTTTAAATATCTGTCGTGAAATGAATAACGAGTTTTGAAAACGTTGATAAAACTTCGTTTATTTTATTTCACTCTATAGTTTTTCAAGCGAAATAAAGATAATTTTAAGTGAAATAAATGTAAAACTTAAAACGTTTGCGACATTAAAATAGCGTACTTGATTTGTTTGTTTTGCACGCGCTGTTTGGCGCTACATTGTGACGTCACGTAAACAATACTTTAAACGTCTGTAACAGTGCGTTAACAACTGAATAAAAGATATTGGTGTTCGGATTTCATTTTCTTAGTTAGACCATTTTCTTTCATTCTAGATAGTTTTCACAACATAATTCGACAAAAAATTGTTTTTTATTTATCAGCATTTCAAACAAAAATTATTTTTCATTTTTTATTATACACAGCTTTCCGTTATTCTGGTTCCCTGTCTAATTATGGTTCCATAGACGAGCGCGGGTGACCAGTCTACACATCCGTTTCAAGTCAGAATTCCTCAGTTTTTTACCGTTGGTATTTAAATTCGAAAGGTTGCGAATGTGTTTCCAATTTGGTGAAACTTTGGACGAAGAGTTTTTTCAAAATAATCAATCTTAGCAGGTATACCGTAAAGCTCGCTTTGGCCGAACATTCGGGCGCAGTCGTCTGAGCTTATAAAAATAAATCAAATGTCTTCGTAGAAAATAATACTCATAATTTTTAAAAATTATTTCTAAATATTGGCATATTATTTATTTATTTATTCATAACATTGTTAAAAATAAATGAGAGAAAAACTTATTCTGATAAATAAAGCAGTAGATAAAACAAATTTTGAAAAAATATAGTATATCAGAAATTCTGATATATCGGGACCTTGGTGGCAGAGATCTACGCCGAAAAATTAAGGGGAGATCACTGTGTGGAGATTGAGCAGGTACTCGCGTTACCGTAAAGCTCGCTTTGCGAGCAGGCCCTTCGGGCCAGCTCGTCGAGCTCGCTAATATGAAAAAGGCAAAGCCTCAAAGCGAGCTCGATGTACTTTTAACGTGAAATAGTATGAAATAACCGCTAATTTTTATTTCAAATGCAGTGACGAGTGCGTGTGACGTTACACATACTGTGTTAAATATGGCTCCGCCCCTGTCCGAGTTTTGAAAACGTTGATAAAACTTTGTTTATTTTATTTCACTCTATAATTTTTCAAGCGAAATAAAGATTATTAAAAGTGAAATAAATGTAAAACTTTAAACGTTTGCGACATTAAAATAGCGTATTTGATTTGTTTGTTTTGCACGTGCTGTTTGGCGCTACATTGTGACGTCACGTAAACAATAATTTAAACGTCTGTACAGCGTTAACGACTGAATAAAAGATATTGGTGTTCGGATTCATTTTCTTAGTAAGATCATTTTCTTTCATTCTAGATAGTTTTCACAACAAAATTCGACAAAAAATTGTTTTTATTTATCAGATTTTTCAAACAAAATGGCGCCTTCAATTTTCATTTTACATTTTCCGTTTTAAAACTATCATTCGATATTTTATACACAGCTTCCGTTATTCTGGTTCCCTGTCCAATTATGGTTCCCATAGACGTGCGCGGGTGACCAGTCTACACATCCGTTTTCAGTCAGAATTCCTCAGTTTTTATCGTTATCTTTAAATTCGAAAGGTTGCGATGTGTCCAATTCGGTACTTCGTACGAAAGTTTTCAAAACCATCACTTAGCAGGCACTCGCGTTACCGTAAAGCTCGCTTTGCGAGCAGGCCCTTCGGGCCAGCTCGTCGAGCTCGCTATAATTACTTAATCTTTAGTCTTTACTGTCCTTATTTAAATAGGAATATTGAATATACATTACTTAAATGCTAAAAATGACAATAAGTAATTATTTAATAAATAAATGATGATTCTAAAAATAGAATATTTCAGAAACAATAAAAAGCTTTACATGCCTTACAATATCAATGTTAGACTCACTATCTGTCCAAGCTTCCGATAATATAACAATATCATTTTTACTAATTTTATCAATAGAATCTGGATCTTTAAGTTCTCTTTCTGTTAAACCATTACAATTCCACACTAATATTTTGGGCACATTCTCCGATGTTTCCTATTCCAAGTTGATTGGTTTTCCATCGATAAATAATGTGTCATAAAAGATCCATGCGTTATGGTTTTTTGCATTCGCCTCACGAAGTTTAGGAATTAATATTTTACGTTTTGCCACAACCTCAGGCGGGAACTGTTCATGCATGAAAAATTATTAACCATTAATTTTGAAGCGCTGTTTCCTTACGATTTCTCTATCTTTGAAATACGCAAATTTGCATACAATTTTCCTGTTGGTAACCCATTCTTTGGGCTCAGGCGTTCATGTCTACATTCTTCAATTGAAACCCCTTCACCAATTGCGCTACGAAGGATTTTTATTTCACAGCATTTAACAATTGTAACGTTTACGGAATATACCGACTACACAAACATTAGCAATGATTTTGTTTACAAAGCAAAATTCAAATCATTGGATGCCACTTAAAATGTGAATGATTATCATTCCAAACAATTTCTACATTTTTGAAACAGCGTTTGAATCAGAAGGATATTTACTTTTCATAAACATTATTGTGAATTAAATACAAGAAATTTAAAGTAGACAACGAACTGATGAACAATCACATATAGTTACAATAATTACTTGATTCGAATTGGTCAATAACGGAAGGTCTTTAAGTGTGAGATACATATACATCAGAAAACAAATTGTTCAAGAAAAGAATATTCACCGTATAAATGTTCATGCTACAACAATTAGAACTCAATCACTTTTTGACCACTTTCTTGTCAGCTACTTCCTTCGCCCCAGCTTCCACTTTATCAACGACTTTTCTAATTTTATCCGCTGTTAAATACTTACGTTTTACTCCCCCATTTGCTGCTATTTCCGTTTTTTCATCTTCCGATTTGGCCACAATCGAAGCGATATTTTCTTCTGCAAAAACACATTCCTCAGCTTGCAAACTTTGAGCTATCAACTGAATAGCGACAGGCACCCACACTTTGACCCTTTCCTCAAAACAGTGCAGTTCAGGGAAAGCTTGTTTCAATGCGTTGTATATAACAGTAGAACAGTTGTTATTAATAATGATGTACTTGTTCTCTTCGTTCGATTTAAATTCTTCCCACCATCCTTTTATATTTTGCATTTGCTCATCTGTAACCTTAATTGTAAATGTTGGTGGAGTAGAATTGCCCTCTATATCGGCATCTTCTTGAAATGAAGTATGCGGCGCTGCTGGCCTTGTGAAATTTGTCTGAGAGCATTCTCCATCTGGCCACCAGCTTATATATGTTTCATCCTGCAGTAACATGGAACTATGTCCAACATTTTGTCCGAAAGGTCTCCATATATAAACCTTTATCTTTTTCAGCTCCGGTGGAGATTTCCTCCAGTACCTAAAAAAAGTATACATGTATGCGAACAGTAAAAATAGGAACACTGAAAGTTTCCTTACACAATAAAACTGAAATGAGAATAATGAAACTTTACAGAAATGTTTGTAAGCATCTATACATGTAATTAAGCATCTGGGCGTTTGCTTGTGGATTTATTCAGTATTTGTAGAGCTTTTGCCCTTAAACGACATCTATGTACATGTAATATCATTTTGTAAAATCGGTCGATCTTGCAGTCAGAATCTTTGGGAATATTATTCTCTCAATTATGATTAAAGTTGTCAACCCAATACCCGATATACACGCCTTTTAACGCCTTTTTCATCCCCCTTTTTCTGGTCTCAAATGGTAAAAAAAACTGCCTTTTTTTTAGGCCCCCAATATTTGTTTTTGTTTGAGAAATGTTGTTTCAAAAAGTGAGCACTTTTTCGGCGCCGCCCCCTATCCAAAGGATACATCAGGGGGTTGCCAGAAGGTGATGTGCCACCTCCTGTTTGAGGGGTTTAATTTTAAGGGGGCGGCAGCCCCCCTCATCTCCAAGAAAAGTTTGGACTTGTGAGAGGCTAAAAATGACCCAGGTCGATCATATGAAAACGTGTAACCAACGCTGAAAAGCCTTTGACTCTATCTCAATCCATTGAGAAGTTGTAGCTCTTTGAAATCAATTTTGATGGAAAAGATCAACGCAAAATAGTGATTTTTGGCAATTTTGAGATGTCTCCTCCTTGCCATGGTAACAGGCAATACAAGACTGAGCATCAACAGTTGTTACAAATGCAATGGTCAAGTCAACAGTTGTGCCAAGTTTGATTAGTTTTGAAGCAGTTTTTATAGTTTTTTTTAGCAATTTTAACTTGTAACGGGAGACTTTTCAATGAAAACAGCAATTTTTCATAAAATGCTCATGCAAAAATGGGTTTAGTTAACAGCTGTATTTTTGTTTATACTGTTAAGTTCCGGGATAGAAAAGTTAGAATTAGACTGTTTAGATTAAAGGGACATGCACTCATGTACTGTATGATGATATAGTACTCGGATCTGAAAAGATTAATGATAATAATAATCATCAAGTTTTTCATGCTTGGATCGATAAACTGCCACGTTTCTCCTTAACGCATATTTTGCATCAATACATTTGCGCGTCACATTGCATAAAGTACATGATTATCAACGATATAAATATATTCTCTATGTACACGATCACATATAGTCCGATTTTCTTGACCTGTCAATTTTGAATACATTATAGCACTCATTTAAATATCCGATCCAACTTCGGTTCCGTCCGTGTAGTTTACGAGAATTAATATGGAGTATATAACTAATGTTTTGAAAAGTCATATAGATCTTGTCAAATCCGCGATAGCACAGACGGTAGAGTGATTGTCTAATTTGTTAGTGGTCAGTAGTTCGATCCCTACTTTTGCTATTGTTTTAAGGCCTACTTTTTTTCTTTATTTTTGCAGTATATTTTCATGGAAATGGCCGAGTGCTTACAATATTGTCTACACATATATGAATTAACTTAGAAACATTGTTTCGATTTGTATTGTGTTTTACGCCATTGAAATGACATTTTCTAATTTTAATCTGAATGAATTATGAATATTAATTAATTAAAGCATGTTATAAAACAAGAGTTTAGACTTTACCAAATATAATTGATAAACATATTAAATCAAAACAAACACCACAACAAGCAATCATAGTTCCAATAATGATGAAAATAATAGTTATAATTGAGAAAAAAATATTGGACGTAGGTGGCCTCGATCTTTCATCCCGTAGGACACTTAAATCATTAACCCGTGACTTACCCTATTGCACTATATCGCTCAGTATTATTACTTCATAGGCACAAATTATATTAAATCAAATCTCACTGCGTACATCTCACGGAAATTACCGAAAATCTTTCGAAGATTAATATATTGTGTTTATTGACCGTGTAATTAGTATGGAATTGACAGGTTAATAAAACCAAACAATACATACCTTTGCATACTTGTATATTATTCAATAAAGCAATTTTACCTTTCGTAAATCATTTTAATCCAACTGAACATCTACTGAATTATTATTAGATCCATGCAATAGGCATCTTGTACCTTATACATTTATGTAATTTTACATTTTTCCCACATTATCGCTAGTAACTGATCACTAATGAAACTTAGTGTTTACGAATGATTTATAAATTCATATATAAATGTATGTTGATTAGAAATATTTGTAATCACCTTTTACTGTATACATCTTGTGAATTTATATTTTGAAGGCGTCGTGGTGCACATCTGGTGCACGTAGCGTGTCACGTGATTTATGAATGGGGTTTTTCTCAAAACGTGAATAACCTGTTAAATTCTTTCTGAACAAGTTAAATATTACACAAATATGATTGTAATAATGCTGATATCTGCTCATTGAATTGTAAATTGTGCAGACAACAACAACAAGGCAATTGGTTGACATTTATTCATGGAAGAAAATTTGTTTTTGCCCCTCCTATGTATAATTCGATTAAATTAACTGTAACCTAAAAGTGTTGTTGTTGTGAAACAAATCCCTAGAATAAAAACAAACGAAACCATAACGACATATATGTAATTATGTAAATCAATTTTGTCTAGATCATTGAACAATTTGAATAGATCATTCATAAAAAGCAATGTAATAATATTTTCTGATTGCAGACAAATGGGCCTGAATTCCAATGTCGTAAACCAAGCGTAAACCAATAATATGTGCTTTTCTATTTCTAAATCCCCGATACCAGCTGTAACCAGGTTTCCCAGACAGAAATGGGACTTCACGCTTCTCTTTTTCACAATGTCTTGAACAAAGTCTAGAAATTCACACATTCTGAGGCCAAAGCCTGTCTATGTCATTTCACCTAACCTCTCAGCCATATATAGGTGTGTCTTTCTGTTCAGAGAAAGCAGTGGCGGGGCCTTTCATGGTGTTCTTGTATGTTTCACCACCTTATCTCCTTTCCAAAAAACCCATATGACAGTCCATACTCACATGCAGCTTTTTGTAAGTAACATGCTCTTGTTTCTTTCACTGTAACGTGCTTTTCTCACTCTGCACTTTCCAACGACTCATTCGCTTCCCTCTATATTTTTTAACCAATGAAGTTCAAGGGGACATAATTCTGTTAAAAAATGGATAGCGTGAGGCAATTTATTTGTATAGCGCTGTCAATCAATTACTCATGCATTTTAACGGTCGGTGTTGCAGATAGTAAACTTATTGAGCACCAAATACCTACCAGCTTTGATCCAATATCTTTCAAGATTTTTTGCAGATATAAGGCAACTCTCATATTTCGCGAGAAAAGAAAACGCTTGGTAAATATCTGAGTGAATCTGATATGAATTACCCGGATGATGACATATATTTTTGCTGCCAAGTAGCAAACATCCTAATGCACATGACTGTTTTGTCAATCTTGCATTGAACCAAGTGTGCAACCACGCAGGACACATGTATACAACTTTATGATTTTTGGTCAAACTCAAGATGATTGTTCAAATGGTCAACAAAAAATCGACGTAAAGCCTGTTCACTATTTTCCCACGTTTCTTGTTTCGGTTCAGGAAAATTACTAAAAATTTAATTGTTACGCATGCTTTGTCATTTGACATACAGTGCATCGTCCTTGTCCTGAACTTCAGTTTGATGCATTTGATCGAATTCGCTCTGTGCCTGACCATGAGCAAATTCAAGTCTTTCTACCCTCGAGTCAATTTTTAGATATCTTGTCATCAATTTTTCTGTCACTATCATGCCGAAAGTCCATATTTTCAAGGTCGATCTCAAAAGTGCTCACATTCTGCTCAAGTATGTACAAGGTATTGAGACGCTGGTCAACATGTTTAAGCGTCATCTCTATTCTACGCAAATATTCAATGATAGCATCAGTATGTGTGTCAGTACTGGTAGAAATATCCGCCGGAATAGGCAGCGGAGGCAGTGATGGTAACGGAGGTCTTGAATTTGAGGGCGGGTCACTTCAAGCAGCTTGTTTATAGGGTCCATGATTTAGGAATAATTGTCAATTTCAGATAATGATTCCGACACAAAGACCGTACGTAGTACTATCTAGTGAAAACGAATTATCAAACAACACGCTATTAGCGTTCTGTAAAGTTTCTGCCAAACTAGTATTACAGTCTAATTTAGAATAGACATATAGTGTTGAGATTCAAGTGATGCGAACACATTATGATGATATAGTACTCTTAAAAGATTAATGATAATTATTAAGATTGTTTCTATAAACTGCCACGTTTTTCCTCATTTGTATATTTATTCATAACATAATAAAGCAATTTTACCTTTCGTAAATCGTTCTAATCCAACTAAACATTTCCATCTGCATTAAAATAATATATTTTCCCCCATTAACAAATCGTTACACCTGGATTGTACATCATTACATAAATTCAATATGCCTAGCTGAATGTGTTATACATGTATGAGAAAGCATACTCTCCTGCGCATCGGTCGAATGTTCCACTATCGCTCACTTCTTACGGGAGTGTATTCAGTAAGCTGCGAAGGGAGCGTAGTTGCTGGGTCATATGGGGGTTGCGTTCATTGAACGCCGCCTTTCCTTGTTGATCTTGTTTATCATATTGTAGAACAAGAAGAAAGCTTCTTTTTAAAAGTTCTGCAAATTTCTCTTTACTAACAGGATTACCTGGGTTTTCTCTACTGTACCGCCTCAAAACTTGATGTCATCTTTTTTAAGGGGACCGAACACTCCCACGTCTAAAGGCTGCATTATATGTCTTGCATTTGGATGCAGTCTGTACAGTTCAATGCCTTTTGATGTAGCGTACTCAAAGGCACCCATAAACAGATGACTGCTCACACTGTCTATAATGAGAACTACAGGCCTTTTCTCCCCACCATATTTATTGAAATGGTCTGTCTGAAGTAACGGGAGTGTATTCAGTAAGCTGCGAAGGGAGCGTAGTTGCTGGGTCATATGGGGGTTGCGTTCATTGAACGCCGCCTTTCCTTGTTGATCTTGTTTATCATATTGTAGAACAAGAAGAAAGCTTCTTTTTAAAAGTTCTGCAAATTTCTCTTTACTAACAGGATTACCTGGGTTTTCTCTACTGTACCGCCTCAAAACTTGATGTCATCTTTTTTAAGGGGACCGAACACTCCCACGTCTAAAGGCTGCATTATATGTCTTGCATTTGGATGCAGTCTGTACAGTTCAATGCCTTTTGATGTAGCGTACTCAAAGGCACCCATAAACAGATGACTGCTCACACTGTCTATAATGAGAACTACAGGCCTTTTCTCCCCACCATATTTATTGAAATGTTCAAGAAAGCTTTGAAATGCCACAGAGTCTATCCACCCCTTATTTGTGTATGTAATTCCACTGTTCTCAATAGAACCAGATAACGGGTTGTAGCTTCTTGGTGGTGGTAATGGATAAACAAAAAAAGGAGGTAACACGGTTCCATCTGCTGAGGCACAAAACATTACTGTTAACCTTTGTTTGCAATGGCCACCTGTCACATGTGGAACCTGACTTGATTGGGTTTTTATTTTAGAGGTTCTGTCACTTTGCCTGCTTTTCTCCCTAAAGAAAATCCTGTTTCATCTGCATTGAATATTTGTTTAGGTTGATCGAGAAGTCCAAGTTTTATGACAAAGTATTTATAGGTTGAGTACTACTTGTCACACATATTACATTGAATCCATATAATTCCTGTGTCAAATTCCTGTTCTTCAATCCCAAGACATGTGACATCCCATACATTTGACATCTGGTGGATTTTTAGACCTTTCATCCTTTTTCGCGTCTTTCATTTCCTTTTGAACAGTTTTAATGACATTTTTTGTGCCTCTTGGTGTTTGTTTTTTTTTTACTAACTTTTGTGCCTCTTGATGTTTTTTGCAAACACTTTTCAAATATTTCTCCTTAGCCATTTTTCTTTTTGGCAAACTGTTGAATTCACTTTAATTCTTTCAGTACCATTTTACGCAAAGCAGCTGGAGATGTTAGATTGTCTTGAATTTTATTTAAAAAAACTCTTCCGCTGAATCTTTGTTGATGTGTTGGCATGTGGGCTGGTTAATCTTATTTTAAAGCTGGAGATATCTTAGACTCCTAAGACTTGACACTGGGTTCATTTGCAACGGATTCAACACCTACAATTTGTTTCTTGTAAGTTTCTGTGCATGCAACAGAAGCAAGCAAGTCTTAACCACTTGAAGTCTCACTGGAAATTGTTTCATTCTCTTACACATCGGAGTCCAGCTTCTGTGTAGTTACAGGCAAACAAGAACCTGCAGCACAATCCCTCAAGTCTGTTGCAATGAAGGATTTACTATGTGATTTAAAGTATAAATCTTGTATGCTTTATAACATGGTGAAATGCCTTCAGTATCATAACCCTCTGTTATTCTTTGCTGGTATTTTTTACGAATGGGTGTGACTAGTGCACTTGCAAGAGAGTCAAATGCAGACAAATGCATCTATTTTCTCTTCAAATTGTGTTTCAGACCTACTGCTTTCTAGATCCTCTTCTACATTGAAGTTCACACCAGGTTTTAACATTGTAGAGGTTATAACAGTGCTATCTATTGTATATATACCTGTTTTTTGAAGCTGTTCATTATAGTGAGTGGCTTATAGTGCCAATCGTCACCAATTTTGTCCAATTTGGCCGCTGTATTAGCCAAGACAGAATTTGGCGTCCAAAGTGATTGGCTTTCAGTCAAAATGGAATATATTCCGCCATATGTATAAGAGTTCCATTTTATAATCTCATCATACCAGTTGAGACGTAAGACAGCAATCATCGATAGTTTTTCATGAAGCTGATCGAAATTCTGAATAAAAATCAGCTGAAATCCAAAGCTACCTTCAGTTGGATTTGATAGGTTAAATGCGGTCTTACCTTCCGATTACAATTTCTAAGCTTATCGTTCAAATGGGTGTAAGTGTCGTTTATTGTAAAACAATCGTACAGGTGGTAAAATTGCAGTAGTTGAATACATAGCCAGAGAGTTTGAGAGCAGGTAAAATAATTCATTTTCAATACTGCGTTGATACTAATATATCTTAAACTTTTTATATCCTTTTTTCATAAGAAATTAACAACATACAAATATCCCAATATTCTAAACACGAAATCGGCAATGCATCTTCAAGTGAAACACATAGTCTAGATCAGAAATTTATTGAACACTGACGAACGCAACAGTCAAATATTCTATTCTTTGTTTGCTGTAATTGCTGCTCATAACGTTTAAAATTATTGAAATACTCTTTACAAGCAATGAGTAAAG